CACCTCCCTTTCTTCATGTGTTCAATATTTTTTCCCCTGTGCCATTCCACATTATTACAAATAACTTAATTTCTGGACATTTATGGTTTGATCAGCACCTCTAGTAATATATGTACTGAGAAAAATGGTGACGTGTTCAATACTTATTTTACCCGTTGTACTTATTGATTTTCCCCACATTTAGTGGTTTTACTAAGATTTTTGTGCGTATTTTCCTTATCATACCCTCTTTGGAAACTGCTATTGTTATTATGCATTAACCATCCATAGGTCTTACATGTGATTAGACCAACAATCAGTGACAAAAATAGCTGACTGGTTAAAGAGACAAAGTTAGACTACTTTTGTTGCACATTAACCAACTGCAGTCTAGCCCTGGGGATGCATTTTTTAAGAAAGCCACAATCTTATCTTCAATAAAGCAAGTTTATTTAAAGCTGAAAAGAAAAAGTCTTCCATATGACAGGCAAACCTTGAGAATCTTGACTCAAAGAAAAATCTTGTGTTCATGAGTTTGTGATATTGTTTTGTAAAGGCCTGCGGGCATAATATCCAGGAAATACAGTGTATCAAGTGTTTGTAGCCTTGAAAGTAGCTACTTTCTCTTTCTGAAAAAGCGTGCTGACAATATGTTCTTTTGAAAAGCAACAGTAAAAACTGAGTTAAATGAATGTTTTAGTTTCAAGACAACTTCAGTGCCTGTATACAGGATACAGAAGGAAAATATATTGGTTGTCTAAAGATAACAAGTTTTTAAAGTTTTAAGTATTTTGTTAAATACGTTAGTTTCATTCTAAATAATCAAGTTTTATATACGTTTTTAATTAGAATATTTTGTAACTTTGAGGTGTTTTTCCAGATGCAGAGCGAGATGGCGCATGCTGCTCGTGATGGTCAGCACCCTCTAAGACACCCACCCATGGGTCCCCCCTCACACCATCCCATGCAGGGAGCACTCCCCCCAACTCCCCACTCAATGCCTCCGTCGCCCTCCAGAATCCCATTTGGCCCCCGACAGAACTCTGTACCCGGGAGTGCCACTGTCCCAAGAGACAGACTGTCGAATGCGAATCCTCCGGCGCGTTCCAACTCTCCTTGTCCGAGCGCCATACTTGAGAGACGAGACGTCAAGCCAGACGAGAACTTGGGTGGGAAGAGCCACAGTCTAGCTAGGGGGAATGAGGGGTTGTACGCAGATCCATATCTGCTCCAAGAGGGGAGGATTGGAATGACAACCACCCATGGACCACACCCAGAACATGGCATGGGGACATTTCACCGTGCCTCCATCCGCTCCACAAGCTCTTATGGTGGGCCCAGTCCTACAGACACTATCGATCACCCTTCTCTGTACAGACAGAAGTCCAGAAACAGTCAACTGCCTACTTTGGATTCCAAGACTCCTCCTCCATCCCCTCACCGGATGACCGAGGTACGAATGATTGATATCCACGGCATGCCTCCTCATGGCGTTCCTCCTTATGGCGTTCCGCCTCATGGCGTGCCGCCTCATGGTGTGCCACCTCATGGGGTTCCCATGGAGAGAAGCTCACCAGTGCGACAATCCTTCAGGAAAGATGAAGTTACAGGGACTAAGCCCAGGGACAGTGTGGGTTCACCTGTGATTTCAGACCCTCAGGGTTTCTCCCAGAGTCCCCTTTCAGCTCAAAGTGACAAGTAAGTACCCGGGGACCAATATGTTCCAAAAAATTATTTGTGGGGGTGGGGTGGGGGGGATTAAAGCACTGCATGGGAGCATGGACTAATTCTGCATCCCAGTTTTACATTCACCATGAGTTTTTGAGCTCGTGTGCTTGTTCTAACTCTCATCCTCCATGAGTAAAGAGTAATAATGTGTCCTATCACTGTCTGTTAATTTCAAAACCTGCAAATTAGGTGTAGCAGACTAATCCACACATTACTTTTCAGCATGGTTTGTGTACACAAACTTATGTTTTAATGGTTTTAATAGTCCGTGTTTAGATTCTGGGATCTAAAACGTTGATAATCAGGACATAGACGTAGCTACCAACAACAAAATATGGGTGGTATTTTTTTATACTTTGAACATTGATAAACAATTATTGCTAATGGGTTTATTCAGTTTTGTACCTGGGGTAGCTTCTTCTTAAATGTACATAAACATAAGTGAAGGGCTTGCTTCAACAGACTATGCACATACTAAAAATCTAAGAAAATGTTGACCAGGTTTGGTAAGTCTTCAAAAATTTTCTAGCAGATCAAACGGATCATTACCTCTTGAACTTAAAACCTCACTTAGAAATACTTAGGGAATATTTTTCTAAAAAGTAGAGAAATGAGAAAGTACAGCAGTTAAGCTAAATAAATATTGTTCCACACAGTTCATTGTAGTTATAGAATATTTTATTCCCGTATAAACTCCTGAGAAACACTGAGGCTAGGAATGGTTGTGTTCACATTGACTCTGTGTCCCAGCTGCAGCCTCAATCTGCTGGGTGTCCTCAACATGTCCCGTATCCTTCCCGACAAAAAGGTGATTAGATCTGAAGACAAAAGTTGCTCTCTTTTCCAAGTTTATGGCTTACCAAAGAATGTCACTGGAAAAGTTCACGCTCCTTTTTCTGACATTTAGAATTTTTTCATACTTTATAGTTTCCAGTTGTTTTTTCACCATGTTGTTAGTGGCTACCTGGTGAATGACTATTGTTTTCTTAAAAAAAGGAGAACAAATAAAAACGAAAAAAGGTTTAGAGCTTAACTTTGGGAGTGATTTATAAATAGTTCTATATCCATGAAAAGGAAATTTGAGTTCAAGTGTTTAAGAAAAGATAAATCTGTTAACAGCTCCCTTGTTTTCATTAGGCTTGCGTTAGCAGCAGCTGTGGTATCAGTAGAATTTTCTAATGTTTCTGCAGAGAGCGAATGAAGTTTATGGAGCAACAGATTGCCAGCTTGAGTGGTCTTGTTCATCATGCACTTTTAAAGAATCCAAACACTAGTGGCAACAAGGCGCCTCAAAGGTAAGCAATCACCGTGTAGTGGTGACATATGCTGAGATTTAAAAAGAAGACTTGGAGATTCAGCTAAAGCAGGAAAAGTATTTTCTCAGTAATGGCTGCCTTTAAATACTTGGGATTGTTTGGTGAAGAGTAAACTGATTTATTTGTCTGTAAATCAATATTTAAATATAAGAGACCACTAAAAATATGTTACTTGGCTGCATTTCAAGACATTGCATTTGGATGTTTTATGTAGAGTCCCAGTTTTAACTTAAAGATGAGTATAAAATGCCTGCAACTGAAGTGAATTTGTATGTTTTTGTGCCATAATGATAAAGCTTGTTAACAATCATTAACATCGTTTAACCTCTCTGGTTTGTCAAATTTTCTTGTCATGCTTTGTTTTATGTATTTGATGTTACTAAAATTAACTTGCAAATCTAAAGTTTGTCCAAAAAGTGCTGCTTTTTAAGAATGAGTTATCAAAATTCATTTTTCTTGCTGTAGTGAAAGACCACCGAAGACCTCATCTCCAGCCCACAGTGCTCCAAGTTCAGGTTAGTGGCACTGTAATCCTCTGTGAACTTTTTTCTTCAACAACCCATTTAATAGCAAAGTCTCTTGTCCAGACAAGCCCACACTGTCAGCCTGCAATAGGTAGAGCTGAGAAGGGGGGAAAAAAACAAAGTCAGGCTTCTTTGATTGTCATCAGCTCATATACTCAAAATCCTCTCACTGATACATATAGAGCTCAGCAGAGCCCACCCAATCCCCTTAAAGCATTTCCTAAAACAAGATGCTGTTACTCCCAAAACTTGCCAACATGATTCAGTGATCTAATCTTTGCTGTGCAATGATCTGCCACCCAATCTGAGCTGATGAAAAGATCTGCAGCCTCCTTCGCCAGTGGCAGAGAAAAAAAATTACGCAATTTACGTGACTTTCTTATAAACTCCAAAAGCTTTGCCGATCCTGTGCTTCTCTTTGCAAAACCAATAACAAAACATCAAATGAGAATTATAAATTGAATCATTTTAAACATGTCTTATCTTGTCTGTTCTTGGAATATGTGGATGCATATAAATCTGAACAATGACGAGAACTTCATTGGGTAAAAAAATGTTCAAACTGCAGTCACTTGTTATGAAGTGTGGTCTAGGCTAGTGCGACACAATAATACATCATCTGTTAACGTTAATTGTTTTTGTCGCTTGTTGGCGTATTATTACCATCTGAAGATTTTTCATGATATATCGTGACATGTGCAATATTGCACTTCCCTACTTTCTGTGTTGTGATTGTAAATAATCTAAACATTGGAAACTTTACAACAAACATCAAACTAACAACAAATCAAAGGTTTTATCAGTGTTACCATACATAAGGGGCTGTGGCAGCTCGGCAGTAAATGCTACAGTCTCATTATCCTAAGGCTGTAGGTTTGAGGCCAGGTTGTGTCAGGAAGGGGATCTGGTATGAAACAATTTCTCCATCTCTCATGTGAGTTTACTTGCTGTAGCAACCTGGCAGAAGAGAGCAGCTGAAAGGAAAAAAAAACATTGAAAAACTATTACATGTATGCACTTTTTTTCATGGTCGTTGGGTCAAAAAGACTCAAAGGCAACAGCAGTTTACACTGTAACCTGTTTTACAGGGTTGTGAATATGTAAGACATAACATGAGCAGACTTTGAGGATTACAAAAACAAAAGGCTTTTACTGCCTCACAGTGCATGTCTACTTTTGACAAACATCTGAAGTTAAACAAAAGATTGCTTCTCCAAAACTTGTCTTCTTTGACCTGACTGTAAAGGTTGTAAGGTTCTCAATATTTCTCTGCAGTACACAGGGTGAGTTTCTTGTTTCTGTGGGTGGAGTTTGTCCTAAGCACGATTGGCAAAGTTGGAATTTAGGTGGCAGTTCTTGGGTGAGCAGAGTATAGTGAAACCGTGACTGGTCAGATTGACTTGTCTTGTGGAGAAAGATAAAAGATGAAGTAATGTGATAGTAAAATTATTATGAGCATGTCATTTAAATAATTTAATGACTTCAAATTTGGTGTGACTAGCACCTTCCTGTCTCATGTTCTGACTAATAATAATATTCATACTGCAAAATAACTATCTTTTTTCAGGCAGGTTAGGGCTGTTTTGACCGAGCTAAATTGTTACACATTCCTCTACATCAGGGATAGTCAATCCTGGTCCTCGAGATCCACAGCCCTGCATGTTTTACTTTTTTTCCCTTCTCTAACACACCTGATTCAGTCAGTGAATTACCTCATCCAAGTTCTGCAGAAGCCTGAAAATCATCCATTCAAATTGGGTGTGTTGGAGCAGAGAAACAAGTAAAACATGCAGGGCTGCGGACCTCCAGGACCAGGATTGACTAGCCCTGCTCTACATGTACGGCCTTCAAATTTCATGTGGCTAGCACCTTCCTGTCTTGAGTTATGATTAAAATTAATACACACACACACACACACACACACACACACACACACACACACACACATATATA